AGTTAAGCAAGGGTAAGATTAATAAGAAATGCTGGAGATGTGGGAAAAATACAGGTACCTTCATTCATATCATAGAATCATAGAATCAAAGAGTTGGAAGAGACCTCATGGGCCATCCAGTACAACCCCCTGCCAAGAAGCAGGAAAATTGCATTCAAATCACCCCTGACAGATGGCCATCCAGCCTCTGTTTAAAAGTTCCAAAGAAGGAGCCTCCACCACACTCTGGGGCAGAGAGTTCCACTGCTGAACGGCTCTCATAGTCAGGAAGTTCTTCCTCATGTTCAGATGGAATCTCCTTTCTTGTAGTTTGAAGCCATTGTTTTGCATCCTAGTCTCCAGGGAAGCGAAAAACAAGCTTGCTCCCTCCTCCCTGTGGCTTCCTCTCACATATTTATACATGGTTATCATATCTCCTCTCAGCCTTCTCTTCTTCAGGCTAAACATGCCCAGCTCCTTAAGCCACTCCTCATAGGGCTTGTTCTCCAGACCCTTGATAATTTTAGTCACTCTCCTCTGGACACATTCCAGCTTGTCGATATATCTCTTGAATTGTGGTGCCCTGAATTGGATACAATATTCCAGGTGTGGTCTAACCAAGGCAGAATAGAGGGGTAGCATTACTTCCCTGGATCTAGACACTATGCTCCTATTGATGCAGGCCAAAATCCCATTGGCTTTTTTTGCCGCCACATCACATTGTTGGCTCGTGTTTGACCTGTTGTCGATGAGGACTCCAAGATCTTTTTCACACGTACTGCTCTCGAGCCAGGCATTGTCCCCCATTCTGTATCTTTGCATTTCGTTTTTTTCTGCCAAAGTGGAGTATCTTGCATTTGTCACTGTTGAACTTCATTTTGTTAGTTTTGGCCCATCTCTCTAATCTGTCAAGATCATTTAGAATCCTGCTCCTGTCCTCTGGAGTATTGGCTATCCCTCCCAATTTGGTGTTGTCTGCAAACTTGATGATGTGGTGGGAATGTAAAGTAGTTAAAAACATTGGTATCAAATATATTTTAAAAAATGGGAGAAAATTTACACCTTAAATTTGAATTTAAGCCAAATATTTTTTACTCGGAATCATTGATTTTCAAATAGATAAATAGGATGATAAGATTTTCTTTTCTCTTACTACGGCCGCAAGAATAAGTATAGCCCGCCTTTGGAAAATGAAAGAGACAACACCAGTGAATTATTGGATCGGAAAAGAGTACGGATCTGTTGACACAACAAGTCACCCAAAATAGACTACCATCAAATAAAACAGACTGGAGAAGCATACTTTCTGAAACAAAACTTCACAGAAAAAGTTACGTTCCTTCTAAAAAAGGATTTTGAAAAAAATATATCCTGCTACAGAATTGCAGGAGGGTAGAGTTTTCTCCCCAAAAGGTAATCCAGATGAAGGACTCATAGAGCTGCAAAGTACTGCCATTGTGGCAGAATGAAAATGTATGATAGCAAGGACGACCATCCCAAGGATTAGTCATTTTACGAATGCTTCCTGTGATTAAGTCCTAACAGATTGAATTTGTTCCAGCACACTGCCTAAACATGCTGATATATGCTATGCTAGATATATATGGCCCATTAGGCTTATGATGTAATTGAGGTTTTTGAGATTTCATGATGCTCAAAGAGATTAACCCGTAATACCTGTGTAGCCATAGAAGCTGTTAGAGAAATTTAACTCCTTAAAGCAGGGGTCCTCAAACTAAGGCCCAGGGGCCGAATACGGCCCTCCAAGGTCATTTACCCGGCCCTCGCTAAGGGTCAACCTCAATCTGAAATGATTTGAAAGCACACAACAACAACTATCCTTTCTCATCAGCCAAAAGCAGGCCCACACTTCCCATTGAAATACGAATACATTTATATTTGTTAAC